ATTCTTGATCTGCTCTGGTTTATTCTCAGGCTTCCAACTAAAGAACCAAATCTAACAGAATGGGTGAGTCCTGTGTGTTTGTGGGCAGAACGGCAGGATCTTACTTGGTGACACACATGGTGTTCTGGCACTGGCTGACGAGGGTCTCTCTGTCGTCCTCTCTCTGGGGTCGGACTGTGATGAGCTCAAACGTGTTCGGCCGCGCACAAAACTCCCGGTTGGCCGGCGCCACCGTCTTGCTGGTGCAGTTAGCCAGGTTGATGCGGCCAATGGGACTCTGGCAGACAAAAGGGAAAAAGGTCTGGACTCTTCTAATTTGTAGAACGACCACACAATACTACTAGATAGATAGCTACATAGCTGGATAGCTAAAAAGACAACAGATAGCTACATAGCTAGCTAGCTACATAGCTGGATAGCTAGAAAGACAACAGATAGCTACATAGCTAGCTAGCTACATAGCTGGATAGCTAGAAAGACAGATAGCTACATAGCTAGATAGAAAGATAGCTACATAGCTAGAGAGATAGCTAGATATTTACATAGCTAGATAGAAAGCTACATAGCTAGAAAGATAGCTAGATAGAAAGCTCCATAGCTAGATAGAAAGATAGATAGCTTCATAGCTAGAGAGATGGATAGCTAGATATACTCTCTTCCAGAGTATCTCTGGTCCTAAGGTAGTTTTGTGGCGATTAATGGCAAAAACAGACAAAAGTAATTTAGGGCAGAGTTTCCTTAAGGTGAACATCTCCAGAAAAAAAAACATGCATGCTAAACGGTAAGCCTGTAACTGGGGTTCTAGCTGAAGGTCAAAGCCTCTTTTTGGAGTCACTTTGGGTAAAAGTAGTCTGCAGAGGGGTTGAATTAAAGCTCACCTTCCTCTTCTCGTCATCGGGGTAGGTCCAGTAGGAGACGCAGTACCCCGACAGCACGCACCATCTCCGGTGCCAGGCCCCGAACCCGCTCACATCCTCAAACATCGTCTGCCAGGAGAAGAGAGAAAAGGAGGTTTTGTGTAGCGTCACAAGCAGCTTATTTATGTTATAATTGGGCTAACTTAATCAATGTAAACGACTGATTGCCTTATTCCTTTTTAGATTTATATTATTCCCTTTAGAATTATTCTTTTGGGTTAAACTCTCTGGCTGTGCCTCCTCCTCCTCTCTCTGTTACAGCAGATACACGTCTTCAAGTTCATTATTCCCACTTTCTTATCATATTCCACCTAAACCTGCATGAATTAGGACCTGGCCTGTTCCTGTCAGAGCTAACTGGCCAATAACACTCGTCCTCCTGTTGGAGGCCCAGAGGAAAACTGTCCATCACACCCGGAAATCCAGGCTCTTTGCTAACTGAGATCCTCCGGGAACATTTGTCTGTGAGAGATTTACTCTGCTTGTGACCAATAAATGTCATATTTGTATTCTAGATCTGCTCTGGTTTATTCTCAGGCTTCCAACTAAAGAACCAAACTAACATTTATCAGACTTTTCTTACCAGGAAGCCCCTCTCTTCCACCTTTGAACCCACTTCACAGTGCATCTTTAGGTAGACGTGGCCCTCCAGAGGACACAGGAACGGCACCTTAAATACGAGGTTAAAACAACAGAGACATTAGCTTCAGTACCAGTGGTGACGCAATATGAAAAAGGACACGAGGAAGAAGAGAATAAACATGAAGTTAGAGCCCGTTTTACCTTCTCCAGAGCAAATTTGTTCTTCCCGATGGAGGACAGACTGAGCGTGTGCGATCCGACCAGGACAAAGTTGCTGGTGCGAACGGCGCTGGGCCCCCCGGGACTGGCCAGAACTACGATAGTCCACACAGAATTACACACAGCCAACACAAGCTCTGAGTCAGGGGTTCGTTTGCATGTTTTAAAGATTGTTCATCTTTAAAGGTGGACGTGTTAAAGGAGACATATTATACCCTGTTTCAACAAGTTAAGCTAGTTCCCTGGTGTCCTAATGTAATGTCTGTGACAAGCTTTGTTAAAAATCCCATCAGGATGAAGCCAAATAGCAGTTCAGTCCCCCTGCCTAACCCTAACCCTAACCCTAACCCTAACCCAAAACAGCCCCGTTCAGAGCGCTCGCTTTGGAGTGCCTGTCTCTTTAAATGCAAATGAGACACAGGCAATCCGCCCACTTCTTCAGGGAGGTGTGCCCACGTCGGCACGCTAACGCTACCATGCTAACGCTACCATGCTAACGCTACCATGCTAACGCTACCATGCTAACGCTATCATGCGCATGCTAACGCTACCATGCTCACGCTACCATGCTCACGCTAATGCTACCATGCTTATGCTAACGCTACCATACTAACGCTCACGCTAACGCTACCACGCTAACGCTACCATGCTAACGCTCACGCTACCAGGACGTCTCCACAGATAGGGAAGTAAGCTGAGGGGGGGGCAACATGCAGGTGAAAGGCTGGAATATTA